CCTTCTCTTCTCCAGGCTGAACAACCCCAAGTCTCTCAGCCTGTCTTCATAGGAGAGGTGCTCCAGCCCTTGTATCGTTTTCATGGCCTCCTCTGGACTCGCTCTGACAGGTCCATGTCCTTCTTGTGCTGAGGACCCCAGAGCTGAAGGCAGTACTGCAGGGGGGATCTCACCAGGGCAGAGCAGAGGGGCAGAATCCCCTCCCTCGACCTGCTGGCCACGCTGCTTGTGATGCAGCCCAGGATACAGTTGGCTTTCTGGGCTGTCAGCGCATGTTGCTGGCTCACGTCCAACTTTTCATCAACCAGTACCCCAGAGTCCTTCTTGGCAGGGCTGCTCTCAATCCCTTCATCCCCCAGCCTGTATTTATACCAGGGGTTGCAACAACCCACAACTAGGACCTTGTGCTTGTCCTTGTTGAACCTCATGAGGTTCACATGGGCCTACTTCTTAGGCTTGTCTAGGTCCTTCTGGACAGCATCTCTTCCCTCAGGTGTGTTAACCACACCACTCAGTTTGGTGCCGTCTGCCAACTTGTTGAGGGTGCGCTCCATGCCAAGTTCAATTCCAGCTGCACCTTGGCCTTCCTGACCCCATTCCTACACAACCAGGCAATGTCCCTGTACTCTCCCAGGCTAACAGTCCCTGCTTCCGCTGCCTATGCATTTCCTTCTTGCCCTTTAGTTTGACTAGCAGGTCTCAACTCATCCATGCCAGTCTCTTGCCTTCCTGATTTCTTACACCTGGGGATTGAGAACTCTTGTGTTTTATGGAAAGCATCCTTAAAGATCTGCCAGCTCTGTTCTGCTCTCTTGTCCCTGAGGGCAGTTTCCCAGGGGGTCCTATTGACTGTCTCCTTGAACAGCTGGAAGTTGGCTTTCCTAAAATTCAGGGTCCTGACTTTACTCTGCCTGACCCAGTTCCCTCAGGACTGTGACCTCCACCAGTGCATGATCACTGCAGCCCAGGCTGCCTCCAGTCGTGGTGTCTCTGATTAGCTCACCTGCGTTGGTGACCAACAGATCCAGTATTTCTTCCCCTCTGGTAGGTACTGTCTGTTACCTGGCTTAAGAAGTTATCCTCCATGCACTCTAGGAGTCTCCTGGATTGCCTGCATCTTGCCATGCTACTTTTCCAGCAGATGTCAGGGTGATTGAAGTCCCCGAGCAGGACGAGAGCCTGCGAGCGTGATGCCTCCAGTAGCTGGAGAGGGAAAGCTTTGTCAATAGGCTCCCCTTCATCAGGCAGCCTGTAGTAAACACCCACCACAAGGCTCCTTTTGTTGCCTTGGTCTTTAATTCTTACCCACAAGCTTTCAGCCTGCTTGTGGCTATTCTTCAGAGACTGCTCTTCACAATGCAAGCATTTCTTGATGTAGAGGGCAACCCCTCCACTCCTCCTTCCTTCCTGTCCCTTCTAAACAGCCCGTAGCCATTGATAGCCATGCTCTGGTCATGAGATTCATTCCAGCAAGTTTGAATAATGGCAGCTAAGTCATAGCTCTCTAGCAGCATGGTGGCCTCCAACTGCTCCTGTTTGTTGCCTGTGCTGCGTGCATTGGTGTAGAGAAATTATTTAACAAGCCATTCTGTTAGACTTGCAAAGACAACTGGTGTCTGAAGAACTGTAGAAAATTTGATCTCTTCACGTTTTCTGAATACAGGTGCCTATACTGAGTAGTATTTTTATTCTTCTGTCACCAAACAAAGGGAAAAAAAAGGCTGCATCTTAAGTCCTATGACATTGTAGAGTTAACATTGCTGGGAGAAGAGATTTGATGAAGCAATAATGCAGAAAGATAACATTTTATATGAAAACTGTGAAAGCAAAATGTTGGCATTTGAGTCTTTAATTGTCTTTACTTATAAAAACACTGTTCCGTTTTTGATTTTTGCAAGATGTGAACATTCATAGCAAGCTAATAGAGTTTGTAATTCTTGAGTGCGTTCTGAAATTCCATGCATCATTCCTGTACATTCATGTATCACTTGCTATACACATGTGTTATGTTTTATTATTTATACACATGTATTTTATGTGTGTTTATGTTTGCATGTTTATTTTACATGCATGCACACACACCATTAATGTGTTATTAAGAAATTATTTTTGCTGTAGCAAGGCTGTTTCAATGTTGATAACTCTTTAAATGGCCTGAAAATAAAACTATAGAGGAGTTGTAATATTGTCAAAAATAAGGAACATTCTGAAGGATGATCAAGTATTTGAAAATGTTGTCGATTCTGGGTTTTTTAATTATTTTCTTGGAATTTACATAGAACATTGTCTTTAAAATTACTCTTTGTTTTGGTCTAAAGTAGTCTGTAAGTGTTCATCTTTTTACACTTTGAACACGGCACTACAACTGAAGTGTAATTTTAAACATGCTACCTTTAAATTCTTGTTCTTATTTTTGCATTTTTTGAAAAATATGAAGCTGTTCTCCTGTAACATCTTTTCAAAGAAAAGAAATACAGTTTAAAAATGGAACAAAATTCATTTATAGATAAAATACAGATTTGAGTTCTGGGAAGCTGGAGTTGAAATTAAGTCTATAATGAAGGGATAAGAGTGATTTTTTTTTTTTCTTACAAAGTCATCAGCTGAAAGTAATGTTGAACTCATTAACTTAAATATATTTATATTGTGTTTCATATCTGAAGTATTTTACTATGCTGCAAAACAACTTTAGAACAGTATCTTGATGAAAAAAGCTCAATTGAATAATTATTGCTTCCTTAGGTCAAGATTGAGCAGGTTGCTATGGAACTTCAGCTTACTCCATTCACTGTACTTCTGCGATCAGTTCTGGATCAGCTGCAGGAAAAGGATTCTGCTCGTATATTTGCTCAGCCAGTGAACCTTAAAGAGGTATGTTTTAAGCTGCGTTTCCCTATGTTTAGATACAACTTGGTGGCATCTAAGTACAGGAAACAAATCATTGCATACAGAGTTGAGAGCAGTGTTACCTTTTAATCTTTATTCTGATAATTTGCGTTAGAAGTTATGACTTACTACTATGAAAGTCTATTTATGCTCATACCAGAATTATTTCTAGGAAATACTTCTATGGCATAGCATCGGTACATATTGAACTTTTGCGATAAGATTATTTGATCAAGTAAACTCGAAGAGTGTCTTAAAAATTGGAATGTGGATACTGTGTTCTTACTTGCAGGTGAAATTCCTTTCTATTCACTGAGAAACTAGATGAACTTAGAGTGTGCATATATGTCTGTCTGCATACATACCTATACAACACATTTATACATATGTATAAGTAACATGTAGACATGTATACGTGTCTATATAAATTGTATGTATATATGTGTGCATATTCTACATACACATATATATTATATGTGTACATATGTATAAATACATTAATTTATAAGTATGCATATGCATAAATACATGTATAATATGTACATAAACCGACAGAATTCTAAAACCATGTAGTTTCAGCATCTGTTAGTAGAGCTCCAACTTGTTACCTAAGATGCAGAATCTTAGAGTATGTAAACTTCTGTTGGCGTGCAAACATTTGCAATATCAAGATGTACAATTCTAAGCTATATTTTGAAGTTCTTGATTTGAGGTGTTACAAAATATGTTTAAAAATGCGGATCAGTTTATAGCTAATGTTGCTTTGTCTGTACTGAGATAATTTTACCCATTCGTGTTTTAAATATTTATTCGAAGGTTCCAGACTATTTGGATCATATTAAGCATCCTATGGATTTCTCTACCATGCGAAAACGGTTAGATGCTCAAGGCTATAAAAACCTCAGTGAGTTTGAAGAAGACTTCAATCTTATCATAGATAACTGTATGAAATACAATGCAAAAGATACAATATTCTATAGAGCTGCAGTGCGGTTAAGAGATCAAGGAGGTGTAGTTCTCAGGCAAGCTAGGCGAGATGCTGAAGGAATCGGTTTTAATAATGAAACTGGAATGCACTTACCTGAACGACCTAAACTTGAGTCACCCCAGCCTTTCTCTTGGGAAGATGGTAAGATGTTTTTGGATTATTTTTAAAAGTTGCATTTTTCATTACACACAGTGTGTACATTCCATACAGATGTTTAAGATTGCTGTTCAGTTTGCTGACTACATTCCTCCCTACCCCTGTCCCCACTTAAAAACATTGCTTGAAAGATTCAAGTGTTTCAATTCTACTAGATCTGTCGTCATAAAACAGGGTTATCCAGATTCTGATTTTTGACAATGTCCGAGCCTAATTTAACAAGATACATGAAAAAGGTTTTTAAATTGAGCTCTTACTTTCACATGAATTCTATATGCTTGGAAATCAAGGAAAATGACTACCAGTGCTCATAAACTTAAGCACATTCTTAACCTACTGAATTAAAAACCAAGCACGTTTGTAATACTAGGAATTAAAATGACTTCTTTTGACATACACATCAGTTTTCTGAGGTTTTGGCAGTAAAGGAGAATAATTAACATGTTTCTTTTATAACCATAATCTTGCCCTTCTCTTGGACAAAAGAAAATCATCTGTTAGGGTAGGAAGGATTAATTATGTCTTCCTTCTGACCTTTTCATTCTTTGCTGTACTACTTAGCTTTCTTGAGCAAAATGATGATCAAGAAGAACAGTAATTATATAGTAGGAATTCATTTCAACATTTCTTCACTGGTAATGGTGAAGCTACTACGACTGTAATCTAAGTAGCTTTTTGTTGATGTTTTTTAATTCTGGCAAGTGAAAGCTTTTTTTTTTTTCCTTCTGTTGGTGTTACTAATCTGGCAAACACTAACACGTGTTCAATTATACATATTTTGACTTCAGTGGATAGGTTACTGAATCCTGCAAACAGAGCGCATATGTCCCTGGAGGAACAGCTGAGAGAGTTGCTAGAAAAACTTGATCTCACCTGTGCAATGAAATCCAGTGGGTCAAGGAGCAAAAGAGCAAAGCTGTTAAAGAAAGAAATCAGCATTATTCGCAACAAACTAAGTCAGCAGCACAACCAAGCTCCTCAAATAGAGTCAGGTATTGGAAGTTTTGAAGAAGAAAGTGCAGCATTAGAACAAGACGGAGAAGAAGAAGGTAAGATTTTAAACCATGATTAAATCAGTACTGTTCTGAACCTGTTTAGTCAGGTGCTTTAGTTATATGAATTAAAGAGTGTAATAAATGAATACTATATTTAATTTTAAAATGGACAAATAGACACTTAATCACAACAAATACTTTAAGAATGAGAGAATGATCTTTTTAAACAAACCCTCCCTCCATTATTTTTCACAGTAGCAAGACTTTTTAAAACTTTAGGTGTTAAGAAAGGAAAGTACAATCAATCTCATGCAAAAATAATGGGGAAAGCCTGAATGGAAAGCATCTTTGTACCTTCAGAAATCCACTTAAATGCCAAAATATGCATTGGGGATCATGTGAGCCTGGGTCAATGATGCTGAAAACTGGTCATTCTACTGTCTTTTGTAGTTTTGTTTGGTTTTTTTTTAAATTATTATTTTTGTTCTGTACTGCAGACTCTGGAGAGGGTGGAGGGTAGGTTCGGATCAGGGTTCTATTTATTTATTTATTTATTTAAAATCTAACTTGATAGAACTTGACAAACTTCCCCTTGTGCTTCTCTTCCTCCTCAAAACATTAGTCTCGGAACTCCATCTACTCTTGGCAAATTCCCATTTATTTCAGTGAGAGCAGTATACTAGGAAGACCTAACTTTGTATTTCAGTTGAATATCGTATTTGCCTTTTTAGCTTTTAAATCAATTATTGAGGTCTTTATTGCTTATTCTTAAATGATGCAAAGAAAATCTAGTCTCTCAAAAAAAATTCTGTTGAGTTTGTTTCACAATCAGCTCTTCTCTGAAAAGCTAACCTGTTTTTTTCATCAGGAGAGTGAGAGACCTGTTTAATTTTGAGTAAGTGCACTTAATGGGAGGAGGAAAGAGCTCAAGGGAAAATGGAAGCATGGTCATAAATAAAACAGTCTGTGTCTAGTGCAGCTTGATGCTGTCAAAATTTTTGAAAGGTGAAGTCAGGAAAATGACTGTCCTTAACTGCCATTCAAACAGCAACTTGGTGTTTAATTCTTAGTGTGACTAAGACAATGCTTTTCAAACGTACAAGTTGCTTGAGATTTGAACAACAATAGTAGAAAAAGCGTATGTGAATCAGCATGCTTATCTTGTTCTGAGGCCATTAAATATTCTTAAAACATTTAATGGTTTGGTTTTTTTTTTTAACTTGGGGTTTTTTTGATATTCAAGGGATGATACTACTGAATATAGTTCTTTAGGAATGTAGTTTCTGGCAGATAATGGATACACTAACTTTTTTTACTTGTAGCTTAACATTTTTATGATGCAGCCTTTCACTGCAGCTGTTGTGCAAAAAATAGTCCAAAAGTGAGCAGTAGCTGTTTTCTTATATTTACAGTAGGCTTTTTAAAAAAAGCACGAGGAGCATGATCTAGAGTTGATTGGCACTGTTGTTACAATTCTGATGTAGTGAAGAGTAATAGTCATTAGTTCAAATTTCGTTTCTGAAATGGAAGGTACTTAGAGGAGTAAAGAAAAGAAATTGCCAAAAAGAAAGATGAGGAAAGTAGTAGAACCCTGTCCCCAGGATCTCTACAGGCGTGAATTACCCTGTTGCAATTCTGTTTTCAGTTTCTGATCAAGTGAAAAATATGCTACCAGAACAACCCCATGAAATTTAGGTTTCGTTTCTGTATAGTTCTCAGGTGTTTTTCTGTGCTTAAATCTTTCTATAAATAATTTCTAATCAATTGTAAGGAAATCAGAATTTGTTCACAAAGATCAGTCACCTTGGACATTCTAAACCACAAGCTTTTCTAATTGATGGTACTTTAAATGTGCTTATCTGACTGTATTTCATTGTAAGCGTCTTCCTGTAATACTATTTACCAGTTCTAATACTTGTATGCCTTCAAAGGATGTGAGCATAGTCACGGTTCATTTTAACAGTATATTTTTAATATGAACTGTGCTATTGTTTGATTAAACCATAAACAATGGGGCAGAGATTTTTCTGCACTTAGTCATTGCTTTCCAAGTAAGCACTGCTGAGCTAAACCCAAAACAATGTAGAGATAATATTTAATCCACTACAAATACAGGGCTTAACCCTCAGGGTTTTTTACACCTTTTTTTCAGGTGGCATAGAAAAATTAAACTAAATTTTAAGATTTCATGTGATAGTATAAATATTACATTGGTTTCATAGAGTTACTCTAGAATAAGCATCTTCTTTCTTCTTATTAATTTATGTTTTAAAAGATTATTTTGGAAACTAGAAAGAAGATTTTAACATCTTTTTGAGTTGATAGTTGGGTTAGGAAGTCCTCCTACTTGTACTTGGGAATGCTGGAACAGTAGAATGTTTATTTTCTTTCCCATCACTTGGGATGAAAAATTGAAAGTAATTTTATATGCTCACGGTTATATCTCTGTCTTTTCCCAGCATGGAATTACTGAAATTGACTGGGACATGATCATGTTTTTTTAAAAAAAAAAGGGGGGGAGGGGCGGGGAGGAAGAAAAATTGGTAGAGGGTGGTTTTTCTGATTTCTCCTATCAAGTCTGCATTGTCAAATGTGTATTTGTCAACTAGTGGCTAATCAAGCTGCAAGACTTTGGGGGTGTTTCCACCCCACAATCTTAAAATTTCTTTTTCTCTTTGGTAGATAAAACTTCTAGCCACAACTGCAAAACAGCTTTGCAAATCTTGCCTTTCTGTAAATTTATTAACACATTTTAGCTCACTTTAGTAGATCAGGTTACAAATACGTTTTTTAATACTTATAAAATTTGTCTTAGGCAGCTAAGGTGAACATTCATAAGGTGAAATAGATAAAATGTATATTATCAAAAATTTGACTTGAATGGCAGTGTAATTGCATTTAACAGCTAATCATCCACCACCCCAACTTTCTATTTAAAAAAAATAGATTTCTTAGTTAATGAAACTAACATAACTGCATGAGAAGTAAAAAGTATTTATCCAGGTGTAAATTGTTAACACCAATGATAAACACCTACTTTTCTATCCCTGTTACTTTCCCGTATAAAAGTAGGAACTACTAACTAGGACAGATTGTTGCTAGACAAGGTTTGTTTTTAAAATGTTATGCTTTGTTTCCAAACAACAATTTATTTGGTGGGCTGCACATTTATAGTGAGTTTTATAATAGACTTTATAACTACAGGTTTTCAAAAATCACACTCTATTTATAATTTTTTCAGGAGATAAATCTCCCCCTAAACTTGAACCATCAGATGCATTACCTCTTCCTTCAAACTTGGAGACTAATTCAGAACCACCAACCCTCAAACCAGTAGAACTCAATCCAGAGCAGAGTAAGCTTTACAAAAGAGTAAAATTTGATAATGAATTATATAGCACTTCCATTCAGAAAGAAATAAATGGACACACTCCAGAACACTTACTTGACAGTAATCTCAATGAGTCGACTGTTTCTGCTGTAGCTGAGTCATCAACTGATGTAAACAGACGTACATCCATTCTCTTCTGCAAATCGAAAAGTATAAGCCCCCAAAAGTCTGCAAAGAACACTGAAACCCAGCCAACTTCTCCACAGCTAGGGACCAAAACCTTTTTGTCTGTAGTCCTTCCAAGGTTGGAGACACTTCTGCACCCAAGGAAAAGATCAAGGAGTGCATGTGGAGATTCTGAGGTTGATGATGAGTCCCCTGTAAAACGCTTGGATACAGGTAAATGTTACAAAACTTATTTGAATGGATGCCTCTCGAAAGTTAACATAGCTGTTAATTTTTTGACATACATGTAATTGTTCAGATTTTAGCACTTGAACAGTTTTTCCTCATAGTTGAGTAGTTACAGTTCAGAAAATTACTGATTCATTTTTGTGTTGGCCCTATACAATTGGACTTAGTGAACCAAGTTTTACTTTGTCACAGTTTTCGCTTTAGCAATGGGATCTTCCAAGTTTAGATGTATGGATGGGTGATTTTTTTTTTTTTAAACTGTTTTCTATTTCCTTTTGTTGCAACCAATAGGAAAGGTGAATCAGCTGCTTTTTTGGAAATTCCCCATTAAATTACATGGAAACTTGATATATGGTGCCGAAACTAGAACTCTTGTAAGAAAGTGCATGGAAAATACATGTTCCATGTATGACTTCATTTTGCTGTAGTGTTACTGCAAGCATATTTTCACGTTATGAAACTGATGACTGTGTATGAGGTGCTTTGTATACCCATGTATTTTATGGAAGTGTTAAAATCCCAAAGTACAATGGCATTTCCTGTGTTTCTTTTCTTCAGTCTGTGCACTTTAAATAAATAAAATTGAAGAATCTAAGTGTAAGGTTATGCTCTTAGTGAGACTTGTCTAAAGAACATTTAAAAAATGTTCTCTTGGTACGTTGGTGCAGTACAGTTGAAGATAGCAAACCATAGTTCTATTTATTGGAGAAGTTAGAATGAAATGCTCTTTGAGGAAGAACAGCAGCATAAGGAAATTACTTATTTCTTTAATGTTATCTGTGGCCATTGCTATGACTTTTATATTACCTTTGAAATAAATACTGTGTTTCATTGTCATGTTGATATGACAATGCAGGTATGAAAAGAGCATGTGGGGTTTTATGTCTTTGAATTAAAGATATAGGAATTTAATTTGAACATTTATTGTGAAGATGTGCTCCAAAAGCTGTTTGTGTTTTTTGTGGGTTGGGGGGGAAGGAGGGTTGGTTAGTTGGAGTTGGCGGGTTTTTTTGTTTGTAGGTTTTTGTTGGTTGGTTGGTTTTGGGGGTATTTTCTTGGTTTGGGTTTAGGGTTGGTTTTTTTTAATGATCAACTGAGGAGAAAAATTATGCTAATGCTGGAATCATAGCATGAGAAAATGATAAGTAAGATTTGGTATGGAGGGGTCTTTTTGTTTATATTTTTGTTTGTTTTGCCTCTTTGGAAAGCCGCAGTTTCCATTCCTTTTCATAACAGCTTGGAAAAAGCATGTAGATTTGATCTGGTACTTCAATTCTGAAGTAGGAATCCTGTGAAGGTAGTGTGATGATAGAAATTATTTAATCTTCATTAATGATATTAAAAGCTTTGGTTTCCAAGTATCCAATTTACCAGTCTGTAGTCTAGATAATTTCATTATGTACCTTTACACCGATTGCATTATATCACATGCACAGTGAACCGTTTTGTGCTAGATCAGACCAGGAATTAGTACTAATTCCTTGAAATTTTTGTCTTAAACATTGTGAGTTGTTTCTTTGGGGGGCAAAAAAAGTTTTATTATACAGGAAAACTGACTTAATTCTTGACCAGAAAAAAACCCACCCACCGAATTTCTGAACACATTTTAAATCTGTCATTTTGTTCCTTTTCCCTCTGTGGAGTTTGGGCAAATACACTTTTGATTACCTTAAAAACAACAACAAAAAAAAGGCAAAAACAAAAAAGCCAACCCAAAAAAACCCCACCAAAAACCAAACAATTACGGATAGTTTCTTTTAATTTTAGTACTCTTCCCATTTCAGAATTTCCAGTTTGGTGTTTGTTTTTTTTTTTTTTTTTAAATGTAATGTGTAGGCTAGTAACAAGAATAAAATCCAAAAGGTTGAAAGATTATTTTTTTTATTATTATTTTTAAAGTTCTGTAGCCTCTTCCTGGAGCTAATGAAGATACACACAAAAATATGTTTATGTAGAACTAATACTTAGGGGGCTATTATATTTAAACTTTTTGTTTGTTCAAGAAGAGACTATGTACGTGAATTGAAATGTTTTAGCCAAATTAAAATCAGCTGAAGGTGTTCCAGCTATTCTTTAATATTACATGGTTTTTTAAGAATATATGGTTCATACAGATTTGTCAGCTTATCAAAACTTAATCCTGTGATTCTTTTTCCATTTGCAACCAAACATTTTGACTTCACGTTGGAAATTTTATTCCTCATGTTATTTTCAAACTTATGTCTCCACGCTAATTTAAGCAATTTGCAGTTGGCAGCTATTTTGAGCTACAATTCGGCAGGAAACCAGCACAAAACTCAGATGTTTTCCAAGATTTAAAACTAGTTAAATTGTTTTACTGTTGCATGTGAAAGCTGGTGCAATTCATGCAGATGTCTGATAAAAATAAATGAGATTATGTATACAATAGTAATTTTTTTTCTTTTTCCTATTTGGTTATTTTTCACAAAATTTTAATTTCGTGCTGCTGGTAAGAAATGGTTTTATTCAAAAGAATTCAGCAGACATGAGTTTTTCCTTCCAAAGCCATACCATGATAGAAAAGGCGTGATTCAGGCTTCTTACATGCGTTCTTGTGAGTTACCAACTTCATGAGCAATTACTGTAGTTGAAAATGGATTACTGTTGCACAGTATTCTTTGACTGGTATGAGTGTTAAATATTCTCAATTCTAGTGGATATAGGAAAAAAGTAAATAAAAAGGATTTTGCTTAATAAACAAAGCATTGAAATTTCAGAGTGGTTGAGAGCTGCACTGTCACATCTTTTTTTCTTCCTTACCTATTCATATTAAGGATGCCTTGTTATTTTGTCCTTCACCTTGCTCAATCTTCTCAATGTTTCCCTCTTTCATGTCACTCATATGTATTCTTACATGAAGAAGTCCAAAGGAAGACTTAACTAGATAAGTAAAACCACATCTATTTTGTCTGATGTTTCATTATTCTCAGAATCTGCCTTTTATTATGCTCTCTTGAACTACATTTGAGGTTGGTGTGCTTGCCAGTTAGTTTCAAGAAAGACACATGCAAGATCCATTGGCACACTGCTTTGTAAGTATGGTGACCCATATGTTGTTGGTTTTCATATACAGAATAGTTATTGAAATACTAGCTTTTTTCAGAAATAGGCTATTGTACAACATGACTTAACCTTAAAAGGGAACTGAAAGGATTCACTTTAATAATTTGACCTCCCTTTATGTGTGAATCTTTGCTTTAAAAATATGAAGCAGTGTTATGTAACCTTAAATTTTAATTTCCTAGTGCTCTACTAGGACATTATCACGTACATAGGTAGCACATCTTTCTCCATAGTTGCTGTGTGCAAACTGACAACTACATAGAGGAGAGATGTGTTTAAAAAATCTTGTATACGTACTTGATGTATCTAGGTTTTGCTTCATATGATACGTAGCAATTTCAAAAAGAAGATAGGTTGGTTTTACTTACAAAATTTTGTTCACATCAGAGGCTGATATATGATTCTTGAAGTTCAGACATGTCAAATCTTAACTACGACAAGTACAATGACCTTTTCAAAATATCCATTGTATACTTACCTTGCTCTTTTGTTACGAAGATTAATCCTTTTTTACAGGAAATTAGTTGGTACAGTTATTACAGCTGAGCAAAATAAAACCGATTAATGGATAGAAGGTAGATTTTACTGACCATTTACAAATTTGCCTCTATCAGTTGTGTATAGGTAAGATAAACTCCTGGAACAAATGACTGTTCTAAGATACCTTTTGAGCATTGTCAAGTGCTGGCTTAGGTTTAGATTAAATTTTCATGTTGTCCTAGGTTTTATCAGTCACCTTTAAGCTTTCTAAATTTAGGATAGTAATTCACAGTTACTGTGGTGCCCTGTATTTCAGTTAGAAACTAATTATTTAGAATATACTGTCCTAAAGCAATCACTGTAACTTATCTTAGAATTGCAAATAATTATTATTATAGTGCACTATGTTTGTTTTCTGTTATTTCTTGGCTAGATAGCAGTAATAGAAAATTTCAGTGAAACATATCATTTACTTAGTATTCTTCTTGCTTCCAGCTACAGAAATTTTCTCAGGTCACTGAAACAGATGTAAACAAATATTTATAACATGGATCACTGAAATAGAGTATTTAATACAGTAAAAAGCACAGAGGTTTTTTGGAGGCGGGGGAATTTATTATTTCTTTATACAACTGCATGCAAAGTATATATTATTACATTTGTTGTATAATGACCTTATTAAATCTATTAGTAAATGTTGGTCTGACTTTGTTTCTGCCTGATGGCTGCAAAATGTTTGGTGGCACTTAACTGTCTGCAAGTAACCTGTATATGAATTCCATTTGCATTTGATAGAATGTTATTTGGAGTGATAAGGATAGAGATTATATCTGGGGTAAAATGGAACACAGAGGTTTTTTTGAATTCTTCAATACTTGATTTCTAATCAGTCTTTGGCGCTCTGGATAACACAGGCCAACTTGATTAAAAGTCAAGCTTCATATGTGCACTATTCAATTACTGTTCTCTAAATAGAAGAAATTAAAGTAAAACATGCATATCTAAGAACATAACTTACCTCCTCTAAGTAGATAACAAACTAAAGTAGAGGTTGCTCAGTGAAAAAACAAATAGGCATAATTACTTGTCTGGTTAACATAGACAAGAATGATAGTGTATACATATATTCATGAGTAAAATGCAGTAATTTGAATATACTGACAGATCCAGAGTCCATATACTTTGAATTAAAACTATTCTTTTTGTTTTCTTTTTTTCTTTAGATAGATAGTGGTTGTTTTGTGTAAAATCTGATGAGAAATTTATTTATTTAAGCACATAGTGATGTCCAAAAACTTCAACTGCCTGCCTTCAGGAAGTTTCAAAACGTAAAGCATTTTAAGGTGTATATGCAAACAAACAAAGCATTGGAGATGGTGAAGACCTAAAAGGAATTATCCCCTGACTTGTTAAATTTGTCA